ATAAGATATTTGTGTATATGATTCATTCTATTGAGATATATCTCTTCTTTTGATTGAGTTTCTTAAAATATCTCTATTGCTGTGATTAAACGAATAGAAGATATTCATGTATATGATTCCGTTTATTATAATATATCACTTTTAATGATTAGACTTATTTTAATATTTTTATGTATATGATTAAGTTTATTGAAATAGATGTTTTTTATGATTCAACTTACTTAATGATATTTGTATATATCTGATTATGTTCAGTGAAATAGATTTTTTTCCTCATGCAACTTCTTTTAATCTTTTTATGTATATGATTCAGCTTATTGAAAAATATCTTTTTTCATATTTGAGCCCATTAAAATATATCTTATTTGATGATTGAATTCATATAAAGACATTTATGGAAAAATATGATTCAAGTATATTTGTAATTCTACTATGTTCCCTGATATCTGTAGTCCAATTTTATTGTAAGGTATTCACCGATAGTGGAAGAACTGAGCGAATTCAGAGGCATTTGTGAGGTTGATGACTAATACATGATATGAAAGAAAAAAGTTTTTGACAGATATTTTATTTAGATTATTTATTACATTACATATTTAAAAGATCGATTGACATGAAAGGTGAAAGAGACACAACAGTTTGAAAAAGAGAAGGAACAGATGAAAAGGAAGAAGAATAGATGATTTTGTGTTTTTTTAAATAATTACGAATAGTCGTCTCGATCATTTGAACCTCATGTACTGATGAGTGTAAACCATCATACATATAAGTGATCGGAATGTCAGGTTGAATGGTGTTGAAATTCATTTGTGCGGCTACTACAGTTAGTTGTTCATTACAACGACTTATTTCATTAATAACTTGTTCACCTTCTGGCAAGAGCCAAGTCTTACGGGTGCGTCGTCGCAACATTTGCCAAATTATATTTACAGCAGGGTATAAGTATCGAACTGGTTCAATGATGTATGCAATACGTCAGGCAGTTTTATCAGCACCAACTCGATGAATATCATTTGTGCCAATGATAAATATTAATTGATCGACGTTGCGCATAAACATTTGTCCTTCATGTGTCTTTAACCAAGCTAACGCTTCAGCACAGTCGCTGCCTGATTTAAAATGAAGACGTACTTCATCTGTTTCACTTTCTATATGTTTCACTGATCTATTTCGAGCTATTGCTGATCCAATAAATGCAGTAATTAATTTTGTTCTAATTTTTTCATAAATCATTGGCATGTGAGCAAAATATTTCTCTTTCTGGTTGTTGCTTATGTCTGTTTTATCTTATGCATGTTATTGATGATGGATATAAATTGGGCTATGATGAACATGACGTTATTTTCTCTTTTGGCGTTGGTGATAAAAGAAATGTGAATGAGCATGTTGTTATTGTACATGTTGCGGGCCGCTGAGAGATTGATCTTCAGATGTCTTTGTCGAAGTTGATTGGGTGTGGGTGTGGGTGGGTGTGGTTGAATGGTATCGGCAATGGCATCCACGCTTACACTCATACCCACACCCACACCCACACCCACCCCACCCACGCCCACGCCCACGCCCACCCCACCCCCACCCACACCCACGCCACCCACGACCACACCCACCCCACCCCATCCGCACCCACACCCACACCCACACCCACCCCACACCCACACCCACACCCACACCCACACCCACACCCACACCCA